TGATTAAGATTTAAAATTTAGATGAAAAATACTTTAGTTTAAATCTTATAATTTTTTTATTGATAAATAATTTGTAAGTTCGAAAAATTTTAAATGATTATAAATTTTCTTATAAGTTGATGAGTTACCCTAACTTTGAAAATAGATAATCTCTTTACTTTTAAATTTTTTTAAATAAAAAAATAATATTAATGACAATCATTTAATGTCGAAATTATTTACTTTAAATATAATCTGCATAAAACAGCATATGGTATGCATTACATATAAACAATTTGGAAAGCTACTGTTCTGGAAACCCTCCTGAATACCAAAGATTTTATAATTAAAAGCATGAAAGTTTGGAATTTCCATTAGCCTGCAAAATTGATGGTAGTGTGTTTCCTTGTGGTGAAATACAACTTGGCATTGAAAAAACACGTCTGATAGCAACTTTTCGACGGAAAGTTTTCATCCCAAAGCTACTTGTATTTGGTTCACAGCAAAAAAAAAAAAATGTGTTTGCCACTGAGAATCCAATTGGCTGCAGCATTGCTTTTTGAGGCACGAAATCTGTAGTTGTCATAATCTGGAAGTTGGTAAGAGACCCTTTGAGTCTTAACAGAAATAACAACTGGTGGATTCTTTCACACTGCAATAAAAAATATTTTTATTTAATTTTATTTAAAAAATTTAAAATATTAATATTAACAATTCTCTAATATTTTAATTTTAAATATTTTCATAATTTTACTCAAACTAAATCTTAGACATGATATTTGAATTTGATGTTGATTTGATTCGGTTCAAAATATTTTTATTTAATTTTAATTTATAAATTAAAAATAATATTAAATGTCTTTTCATGTTTTAGTTTTAAATATTTTTATTTTATATTATTATTAAACATAAATATTTTTAATATTTTATTAATAAATATTAATATTATTTTAATATTATGAATATTTTAATTATTTTTTAATTTAAAATATATTATTTTATATTTTATTGAGTAATGTATTTATATTACTATTTTAATAATAAATATAAATAAATAATATTTTTGTTATGATTTACTAATGAATACTTTCAATATAAAATATAATTATTTTAAATATTTTACTATTAAATATTACTATTTTAATATTATTATATTAATAATGTAATATTTTAATAATAGTAATATTAATATTTTAAATATTAATATAAATAATAATAAATAGTTTTGTTTTTAAGTGTTTAATATTAAAATATTAACATATATAAAATTATTTTTTTAATATTAATAAAGATAATAATAAATAATTTTAATGAATTTTATTAATAAATAATTTTTAATATTTTAATAGTTATATCAATATTATTAAAAAATAATTTTCAAGTAACAACTAAATAATAAAAAATATTTTTATTAACTCATTCAAATAATAAAAAAATTTTACTTTTACAAAAAATATAAATATTTTTCAAAAAATAATTTTTATAAAATATTTTTCATAAAAAGAAGGAAAACTTAACGTTGATATATTTTCACACCCATGTTAAAGTTTCTTTCATATGTTGTTAGCAAAAGATACTTACTTACTTTCATCACAAACGACAAGTATGGGTTCTTTTCTGATACACTACAGTGGCAAAATTTAATAGTGCTAGTAACAAAAAGAGGGCTCGTCCACTTGACAATCATATCCCATTCGCGTGCATACTTTTGACATGGTAATCTCTTGGATAATTGTTGGGGGGAATTTTTTTTTAAGGACTTGGAATTTTCAATATAGCCAACAAAAGCACTTTTCTTGGACTGACAAAAGACGGAGTAAAGGCGACAACTTTAAATCACTTGATTCTATTCTCAGCGTCCCAAAAGAAAGAAGTTTTTTTTGGAGGTTGATTTTAGAATTAGTTATTTGTATATATAAAATATTAAAATTTATATATTTATATTATATTTTATATTAAAATTATATATTTTAATTTATATCAATATAAAAATATAAAATATAAAATATAATTTTTTTATTTTATCAAAATTTATGTATGATTATTATTATAATTTTAAGTTATATTATTTTTATATTTTATTTTTATTGTATTATCGTAATTAATTTTATAACAAGGCCACCGACCAATCATCTCATTAACTGTAGCCTGCAAAGATAGGATGTTGAAGTAGCTTTTGAGAATCATTTTTCCTATATTTATCAGTTGGTCAAAAGTGAGCTTCGAATCTTCACGTTTCTATAGGCATCTCTCAATATATAAATATGTATAATGATGTTTCTTTCCCACCTGTCTTCTGATCTTCTCTCACTCGCATTTATATATATATATATATATATATATATATCGCCTTCTATGATCCATCCTCTCAAGATTCTTTTGGCTGTCAAGTTTTTGAACAACTTTCCAGTCACTTTTTTTTTTTTTCCATAAATCATTAAGATGATAAACTCAAGATGCTCATATTGTTCTTTGCGTCGCCTTTTCTGTTTCTGATTAGTTGTTCTACTGATATTGGCTGTCAAGTCTATCTAAACAAGAAACCAAAAGTCTGTTGATCAAGTTCCTAATATTGGACCACGTTAATATCTTTGGTTACAGTTGGTCTGGTCAAATATAAAATATTCAGCAGTACGGTCTCAGCCTATTGTGTTCTTTTTCCATTGCCGAATAGAATGCAAACATGTTGACACCTGATCGCCTCCCAGGAATTTTATAGTAGGAAAGAAAATGTTGTGACAGACGTGATATATATTCTTTTTATGTGCTAAATCTTCTGTAAGCATGGATAAATATCGTCTCCTGAGGAATACAGATTAGTGTGTTAATCAGCTTGACACCTGGGACTTTCACTTTATATCTGCTTTGCTTGAGCTTCGTTTTTTATTGGTTTTTTATCATCTTTATGATATATACACAGAGATTAGCACTATGGAAGAACCTTTATAGTTGTTTTAAGAAAAGATGAAGAGCATAGTTTAATTTCTAGCTTCTGAAACAAGAAAGTGCAGGCTGGTAACAGGTCTAATCTCTTTGGATGCCTTTTTTTTTTTTTGAATAAAATGCAAGGCATAAATTGCCAGACTAATTTAACCATTGGCTTAAAGGGTTTTGAAGCCATAGCTAGAGCATTTGGACTCCAAGATTAATTTTCAGCCTTAATTATAGAAATAGTACTGCTACCTTCCATCAGTCGGAAGAATATTTTTCATTCAGAGTTTAAACTCTTTTTCCTATTTAGGAACATAAATCCAGTGGCAAATAGTATATGAATTAGAATGAATCATGACATCCACTCTTTCCATTGGGACTGTTTGTGCTAAGCCATCATTGTGGCCCTGGATTTGACAACACTAAAAAGGGTTAAAACATATAATAATACATATAAACTAATCCTCTAGCCTTGGAAACTGCTTTGACTGATGTTTGATTGAGAAATGCATTAGGTTTGGTTCTCTAATCTAGAAAAATCTAGAAAACTATACATGTCTTTCCCTTTCAAGGCAATTTTTTGCAAGGGTTGTTCCCTATTTCTGCAGCGTTGCTTTCCAATTTAAGTATGAAGCCAAAGTGATTGATCGAGAAAAGAAGAAAAAAAAAAACAAAATTGGTCCAGACCCATGTCAATGGACAAAGCAAATTAGAATTTGATTATACCAATTAATCCATATATTAAATGAATTTGTGTTTAGAAGAAGAAAATATATAAATATTCCATTAACCATGACCACTTTGTGGTTGGCCCCCAAGCCACCTTGCTATTTTCTCTCAACTCCATCAATTACTCCACAAGAAAGAAAAGAATAATTGTAACTCTCCCCATTATGGATTTATGGGCATTTTATTTTGGTAAATAATCCTCTCCCATTGGATTTTATTTTTATCATTGTGTGAACTTTGTGATGAAAAGTTTTTGAAAGGGCATCAAGCAAGACTGGTGCGCTTTTTCTTCAACCAAACATTTAGACCAAATGTACATGATTTATTTTAATAATAAGCATAACCCTTGTAAAAATCTACAGAGAGAAGAGAACATATTCCAATGGACGTTGACCTTTGTGGTAGCCAATCACTGGTAATTCTTTTTTATAGTAAAGCAAGAAAAGTTTGCAAGTAGCACAACGTTCTGTTTGATTTTTATAGAAATTGGTAAAATAAATGCACCATTCAACAACAGAACCCGTCGAATAGGAGAGTTCAAAGTAAGATAGGACAGAATGCATCTTCAGTTTTTTTCTGAAATAATCCTACCATTTCTAAGGTAGATCTATACTGTAGAGAACCTGCATATATAAGTTTCCTGTTTTGTTTTCCAGCAGTCTTGAAATTTTGCTGTTTCTTTTTCTTTTTAAAGATTGCTATGTACTTTTTCATGTTTAATTTTTGGTTTCTAAAATAATTTACCCAGCCAGTGAACCTGAGCAAATTGTTTATTAACATAGATTTTCAACCAACAACATAAGGAGGCAGCTGGTAATTATGAATTGCTCTCTTTCCAAGCCAAGTTCTTCCATCTTTGGTACTGTTCTCAAATTTTTAAGTAATAGATGCAATTAAACATAAAAAGTTGTTTAACATGATCATTATATTATATTATTTGAACTTTTCAAATTGTCATTGATTACTGCACTTCACATAGAAAATGAACCAAAAATCTCACCAACCTCCATATATTATATATTATCTATAAATGCACAACAAGTAAAACAATTTTAATTATTTTCAATTTAAATGATGACTTGAGAGGCATGGGATAAAAAAAAAAAAAGTCACAGATGCTAAGATTTGAACATTAAATTTGTTGCAAGAAAATTTTTAAAATTGATTGTATGAAACAACTGAATTAAGCTCAGATTTTTTTTTTTTTTGCTATGATCATTTCTCTCTGGTTTTGATCCTGTTGCTAGTAATAAACTTGCGGCAGATGAAAATTACAAAACCAGAAGAAGAAAAGCGGCTTATCCCAGCTAAAAGGTGGATTGAAGAATTTATGAATATATCTCAAAGAATGATTCCATTGGTGAATTCATCAAAATGCTTTGATAATATGTAAAAGATTCCAAGCTCACGATGATAGCAGCAGCCAGCAGGCATGGTGCCGCTGTGTGTTTATTATTACCTTGAATTGAATTTCTTTTTTATTTGTTTATTTTTTCATTTGTGAGACCAAACTAATGGCATAAAGTTCATTGTTTAATCTTAAACCATGAGCACTTCCTGAATTACCATGAGTGGATCTTACTTTAAGGTCAAAGATTCGAGCTCAAGGTCATTAAGAGTCCTAATATTTATCATTGATCACCTTATAATGTGCAAGGATATGCGAGAAATTACATAAAAAAATGGAAATTTTTTTACAATTTGATGAAAGAAGCAAAAGCGAAAATGGCTACCTGACACCAAATATTGAGCTGTTTATTCTTACTCTTTAGAATTACAGTTAATATTTTTTGCTCTGAAAGGCGTCCATGGCTATTTGCTAAAGATACTAAATAGAAGGCTTCCTCAACGATCAGAAGCAGCCATGGTGGTATTGAAACTGATGTTCATAAAAGTTCCTCTTGCCATTTGTTTCATCCTCCACCTCATGCAGCGCCTGCAAAAAGAATGCATCAAAAAATTTGGACCTCCATTAAAATATAATATTGATTCAGTTATTTATTGTTTAATGATATCTGCTACGACCGGAATGATTACTATACTACATTGAACTGATATAGTACCCATAATCATCTTCGTCTTCATCTCTGGTTGAACATGAGGCTTTCGGAATCTCAACAGTTTCATCGTTGCGCGCGAATCTGCCACGAAAACGAAGACGGTTGTCGGCTAGTGTTTTACGGCATGCATACTTTGCAACAACATAAAAACCAAACCATATTTAGAAATTTAGAACGCAATCAAACAAATGAAGAAACAAATGTACTTGTCAAAGAGAAAACAAACCTTAATCTTTTTGTTGAAGTTCCTTTGATTGCGCTTTGCTCTATACTTCGAAATCCTCTCTTGTTTCTCTTCTGGGTTGTAACGTGCTACTTTGAAGGGTGCTTCCTCCATGAACGACTTCTCTATAGCCCAAGGGGTCGAAATTGACCTTTTGTTCATATGAACATTTCTCATGTTCTAAAAAAGCCGAGGAACAAAACAAGATTCCATAAGATATAGGAGTTTAAGAAAACAGACCAAAAACAGAGTAAAAAACAGGGTAATTTAGGTAATAATAAAGAGATGGAACAAATATCTAAATCTCCAGTGCTGCATACCTTCCTCATTTGTCCGGCGAAAAAGCTGTTCTCAGGCATGCTTAAGGCTTGGCCTTGAAAATTCTGTGATTCCATGAGAGAATCGAAAGGAGGTTGGAATGAAAATTTAAGCTTTCCTTCAAAAGAATTGCTACTAAAGCCCCGTTGCAAGTACTTCTGTACATTTTCAACATCACTGTAAGCAGAATCGAAATCCACTTGACATTCTTCTTTTTTAACTTCAAAACAATTCAAGCTGTTGAAATTTTCATAGCCGTTTTCTAAATTTCGACCAAATGACAGAGAGGGAAACTGGGTAGTTTGATAACGGCTGAGAGTTTCAAGCAGGTCTGCTGAAGGTGAAGAAGGAAGCAAATCAGAATCCAGTTGGTCTGGACAAGTGGGTTGATCAACTGGGTTTTGTTGGTTTTGATTGCTGTTCAACAAAGCTTGAAGATTATAATCAGATGAGGAATCATACACAGGAGACAAAGGAAGATCAAACAAAAAGTTATAATCAATCGTATTAGAGGAAACGATCTCCGGAATATAATTGTTCAGGAAAGAGTCATCAGAAAGAGAAAGATCATAAGACATTTGAAAACAAACTGACCAACTCTTGATTGAAATTGAACCCAAAAGGCAATAAACAACTAACAGAAGAAGCAAAGAGAAATTGAGTTGATTTTTCTATCCGGATAGCACCAGGTGACACTCTCAGCGGCTCAGGCCCTCAGATTGTTTATTAAAGGGTTTGAAATTACATGGAAGAACAAGACAAAGTACCTCGCCCTTCGAACAACGGATATATATAGGCGAGTCGAGTCTACGTCTCCACTGCCTTGCCCTTAAGCAGACCAAGGTACTACAGTTGACTATTTGAGCTACGGAAGTTTGCAATCATGCCCCTAGAGAAATAGGATTTAATATTTGTTGCAGTAGTCATTTTGGTCAAGATAATTTGGTCCTTAGTTTAAAGCAGCATCCAAAGCTTTTTATAGATATTAATTTGAGAACAAAAACAATTAACTTGATTGCATTTCTAATTATTAATTAAAACTAATTTTGAATTAGATCTTTGTAGATGTTTTTAAAATATTATTTTTATTTTTAACATTTTATATTCTTTCTTTTGATATATTTTTTAAATATAATTGAGTTATTAAAAAAGATGTGCTTTTTTTTTTTCGTTACTTCAAATATATTTACTAAATTTGATGTAAATAAATTTATTTAAATTTAAAAAATAAAAATAATAAAAAATTCATTACCATTTAAAAATATATATAACATTAATTTTTTAATTTTAATAAAAGTTGAAAATTTTGAAAAGAATAACATTTACTTCTATTACCTTTTCAAAGGAAGTAAAAGGCAAGAAAACTTTTGAGTAAGCCTTTGGTCGTAGAATAAATGAACAAGACTTTCAATGAAGAAACACGGCAGCGTATAGCATTTTCCAACCGATAATTAAATCAAATATAATCAAATTCTTTTTCTTGTTTGGCTTTAAAAAGTTTTTCTTAGATGACTTATTCTTTTTAATAATAACCCAAAAACGCAAGCTTCCCCATTGCCCATTGGCTCGTTCAACTTCCTAATACCGTCGTAACTCCTTCACTACCATCCATCTCTCTTATTTCTCCGCTACTGTTTGTGAAAAGGGTGTTTGATTTTGTTTTGAAGATCTTTTGAGCCATGGCGTCGCAAAAATACTTGAACAAGATGCAGCTCTGCCAGAACTATCGAAATCTCTGGCACACCGATGATCTGATCAGCACCATTCAACACGACCCTCCTTGTATTTTTCTCTTCACTATTCTCAGCTTCACGGGCCTCAGCCGCCTTATATCTGGAGAGAGAATCAAGTACAAAAACTTGACGCCACCTGACATGTACCATTATCAAAATGAGATGGGCAAAGCACAAGGTTATTAAAAAGTCTGCTTTGGGTAGCAATTAAAAAGACAGCTCAACCACATTGCAATGCCCTGATTGTAGGTAATCATTTTGAATTATCAAATTAACGGGGGTGAAGCAAGGCCACACTTTTCAAACCTTGGAACTTACTCTGTACATTCATTAAGGGCAGTAAGGAGCTTTGAGAGCGTGTGACTAGTGATTTCAAATATTGGTCTACTACCATTCTGTTGGATCTCAGCAAGAGCTGCCACTGCATTAGCTACAACCATTGGATTGTTGTCGGATATCAAATCCTTGAGAGATTCCAAAAAAAAACCCCATCGTCGACCAACTCTGCATTTATGTCATAAAGTTTAGCAACACATATGGCAGCAGTCTTGCGAACATACGGATCATCATCCTGTTAAAATATTATACACAGTAAGAGAAATACATAATAACTGGTGTGACTTGCATAAAGCAAGTTTGTGATGAAGTTGGAAACTAAAAAAAAAAAACAAAAGAATTGTTAAAACTTGGAAATATATACTATAATAATAATAGGAATCAACCTTGGGGCACCTCTGAAGGAGATCACAGAGATATTCTGTGATATTATCAACACGGATGCATCCCATAGTCCAAACAGCCAAGCACGAATGAGAGGATTTGGATCCTGTGAATCCTGCAAATATACTCATAAAGCAAAATTTCATTATAGATTCATAAAGCATCATTACAAAACTTTAACACAAAGTCACAAACATGACTTTAAACAAAATATAACAAGTCACCTTAACCCCCTATTATGCTTTATACCCTTTGAGGCAGACACAATGACGATAGGGAGGTCAGAAGTACCAATCATTGAACATCTTCTTTTCCGTAATAAAGATATTGTCAAATGCATATATATGTGCAACAAATTTTATAAATGCTCAATATGCTCAGGTCAGAAGAGACATCTTGGATTAGAAAAGAAATCCTAAAAGCACAAAAACATGTACTTGTATCAGAAGAGAAATACTATTATAAGCACATTACCAACACTGTTATTTTAAAACTAGAATGATATCAATCTTTCCTTTCCACTAAAAGTAAAAAAAAAAAAAATCAACAAAATTGAAGAAGGGAAATGGACCATAAAGACAAAGATTTATAAGCTATTTACTCATCTATGTAGACCATTTTCCTTTGCCACTTGCATGGGTTTTGTTTGACTATCAAATTAAAAATATAATACTGTATTACTGTCTTAGGAGAAGAGACATTTTTGGCCAAGTAACTGAACCATGGGTAAAAGAAATCTGTTTCCCACAAGTAATTTACAATCGCTTTCAAACTCTGAGGAATCTTTCACTCCATTCCTAGAAGATTTGAGGCTGAGAATTCGGAGGATGAAATGGTCAATGTAAATTTTTCTGATTTTACATGTTCATATCATGAAGTGGCAACATCCATGCCAAATGGGAAAAAGACACTCTTTCTTTTAAGCCATGATAAGTTAGAGGGCTTAATAAATAGTATACCTTCAAAAATGTATTTAATGCAAGAATTGCAAGGTCAGGCAGGCTGTTAGCATAATTTATAAGATACAAATAAACAAGCTTTTTCAGCTCCAAATTCTCTGTTTGCATGCAATTCACCACGTCTGTGAACAGCGATGACACATCCCTCCCAACTGTCATTGCAGCAACAACCTTCTTTACAGCATCTTTTCTTTTATCCTTCATAAAATGGAAAAGAAAGGCATGACTACAATCCCATAACTATAAGTCACGAAAATAGATATGCTAAAATATACATTCAAATTCCAATGGGACAGTTTCAACTCATTTGACACGCTAAGAACTACAGGATTAAAAAGAAAAAAAAAATTCTTCAAAAAACACATTTAGCTACAAAGAATCAAGAGAATTGAAATCGTATTACCATTAAAATTCAGTTTTGAATCGGATAAATATAAATATATTCCCAATGAAAACTTGATAGAAGGTAAACCATACTCCAATGCGACTCAATTAGCATATCAGGAAAACTGAATCTCTCTTTCCATTTCCAGCTATTTTCCATAATCCGTAATTGATCCAAACAAAAGCCTAAAACTTAGCTAGCTAAATCATAATTCAACAATTTGACGACTTCAAAGAACAAGTCAAAGCGCAAAACCAAAAGATCTGACGAAAAACACGAACTAATCCGCTACAAAGATGCCAAACCGAAAACCTAAAGAATAGAAACAGAAGATCAAGAAAGGAATCGGAAAAAAGATCTGGTTGGAATAAGTAGGTACTTGTACTGAGAATTAATCTCTTCCTTGAGTTCAGGGATTTCTCCCTTCTTCGTCGTCGAGAAGTACTTGGAATCGTGACCGCTCCTTCCTCACTCTAAGAGGTCTCGTCTTCTTCTTGTTGTTGATGGAGTCGACGAAGAATAAGAAGTAAACTAAAACAATGGAGAACAACCGCCAGAGAGGGAGGAGACCAGATCGAAGGGTTTTCGAAGGCGAGGGAATTGGAAACCGTTAAGTCCAAACCATATCCGGGCTTTGAGGGCAAAGAAAAAGGCGGGCTTTTGAGCCCATGGTAAATGTAGACCTTAGCCCAAACTCCGTACCAAGTTAGTGATAGGTTTTTTTCGGCGGAAGGGAGGGTTAGTGAATGGTAAATCCTTTTTATAAATCTTTTAAGCAACCCACTCAAATGCCGATTATTGGGCCCAGACTAGGCCGTGAAATCCAAACCAAATTGGGCCAACATTTTTTTTTTTTTAAGTAACCGACTTAAATGCTGATTATTAGGCTTTGGGCTGTGAGGTCAAAACTAAAAAATGTCAACGGATTGAGACGGGACAGATCCGAATCGAACTTGGTTTTGTTATTAAATATTTGAATTTGATATCATCTGAAAATATTATTTTTTATATTTAATTCAACTCAAATTAATAAAATATTTTTAATATCTAAATATAAAATTACATAAATATAAAATATATAATTAAATAAATAATAAAAAATATTATATATATAATGGGTTAGGTCTTGACAAGTTTATCTAAAATTTGATTATGACCCGATATCAATTTAAAAAAAAAATCTAACCCAATTCAATTCTAAATCAGATTAAAAAAATAATTTTATAAAATCGAATTAAATTAAAATCTAATATATTCAAGTTGAATTGTCAGTCAAAACCCTTTTTTAACAAACAGTAACAAAAGATCCACCTCTAAACGTTACATTTGGAGTTTACTGGATAGATTCTATGGTTACATTAATATTTTTAATAACAAAAAATTAATAAAATTAAAATGAAATTAAAATTATAAAATCAAAATAATAAAAAATTACATTTACATAAATTACAATATAATAACTAAATTTTAAATTTTTATAAAATATAAGGACAATAGGCATAATTTGACCCAATAAATAAATAGAATTTAAGAGTTTCCAGACTCTTGCATTTGTTAAAGTGAGATAATGATAATTATAAAGGGTTTAAAAAGAATAAATTCGATTCCCCCTAAATATGAAGACATGCAGTATGAATTTTTTTCCTTACTGTTTTAAGTACCTGAAGAGGAAAATTGACCAATGACTATGTTATTTTCTATAATCTTATCCACAATAAAAAAGGATGAAGAAAATGAAGAATTAACATAAGTAATTAAGATTTAAAATTTAAATGATTGTAAATCTTCTTATGAGTTGATTTATCTTAATTTTGAAGAAAGGTTTCTACTCTTAAATTTTTTTCAAATAAAAAAAATAATATTAATGGCAGTCATTTAATGTCGAAATTATTTAATTTAAATATAATCTGCATATAAAAGTATATGATATGCATTACGTATGAACAATTTAGAACCCTCCTGATTACCAAGATTTTATGATTAAAAGCATGAAAGTTTGGAATTTCCATTAGCCTGCAAAATTGATGCTACGGTGTTTCCTTCATACGCATATTGGCATTGAAAAAACATGTCAGATAGCAACTTTTTGAGTGGAAAGTTTCAGCTCAAAGCTACTTGTGTTTGGTTCACAGCTAAAAAACAAAGCTATGTATGTTAACGAGACTTCAATTGGCTGCAGGAATGCTTTTTGAGGGGTGGTTGTCACAATCAGGAAGTTGGTAAGAGACCCTACAAACAGAGCTTTTGAGTCTTGACGGAAAAGACAACTGGTGGATCCTTCCGCACTCGCAATAAATTTTATTTTAAAAAATTTAAAATATTAACATTAAAAACTCTTTTGTTATTTTAATTTTAAATATTTCTATAATTTTATTCAAGTTAAGACTTATGCTATGATATTAAAACTCGATTTTGAATTGATTTAATCTAAAATATTTTTATTTAATTTTAATTTATAAATTAAAATAATATTATTAAAAGTTTTTTTTTGTGTTTTAGTTTTAAATATTTTTATTTGGTAAATTATTATACATAAAATTTTTAATATTCTAATAATAAATAATATTATATTATTATTTTAATAATTAAGATTAATATTATTTAAATAATATTTTTATTATTTTAATAATTTAAGTATTTTTAATCATTTTTAATATGTTTTAATTTAAAATATATTATTTTTATATTTTATTGACAATGTATTTATATTACTATTTTAATAATAAATATAAATAAATAATATTTTTGTTATGATTTAATAATGAATACTTTCAATGTAAAATATAATTATTTTAATAGTATAAATATTTTAAATATTTTAATATTAAATATTACTATTATGATATTAATATATTAATAAAATATTTTAATAATAGTAATATTATTTTAAATATTTTAAAATATTAACATAAATAATAAATAGTTTCATTTTGAGTGTTTAATATTAATATAATATTTAACATTAAAGTATTATTAAAATAAAAATATTTTTTAATATTAATAAATATAGTAATAAATAATTTCAATTTATTTTATTAATAAATAATTTTAAATATTTATGTTAATATTATTAAAAACATATTTTCTGGAAAGTAATCAAATAACAGAAAATATTTTTATTAACTCATCCAAATAATGAAAGTTTTCTATTTTTACAAAAAAATTATAAATATTTTTTAAAAGTCAATTTTCACAAAATAAATAGAACCTTGATTTTGATATGTTTTCAAATAAAAAAATGAGTTCAATAAAAAAAAATCAAATACACATGATAAAAATTTTGAATTTTATAAATGAGATTAAAATGATGATACATGTCATTTATGTATTTAAAAAAATTAATTTAAAAAATGAGATATTTGTCGTCATTTTAACTTTACTTGTAAAATTAAAAAAAATTACTATTAATATATCAAATTTTTATATATATATGACAAGGCGAGTTCTTCTCATTATGCCATCAAATGCACTCCAACATTGTTAAAATTTCTCTCTCTTATGTTGTTAACAAAAGTTACTTTCATCATAAATGATGATAATATGGGTTCTTTTCTGGTGCACTACATTGGCAAAATTTAATAGTGCTAGTAACAAAAAGGGAGCTGGTCCAGTTGACAATCATATCCCATTCATGTGTAAAATTATGATACGATAATATCTTAAATAAATATTGGGGGGGGGGGGGAATTTTTTTTTTTTCATGGACTACCACAAAAGCTCATTCTTGGACGGACAAAAGGACCGAGTAACCGCGGCGACGACTTGATTCTAATCGTCTCATTAACTATAGCCTGCAAAAGTGAGCTTCGGAATCTTCTTGCTTTATATATAGCCGGCCATGATCACTCGTCTGGAGATTCTTTTGGAATCCCAGTTTTTACAATAAATCATTTTATTATAATGATAAACTCAAGCCCTTTCTGTTTCGGATCGGATGTTCCACCAATATTGGCTGTCAAATCTATCTAAACATGAAACCCAAAGTCTGCTTATCAAGTCCCTAAACATTAGACTACGCAAATATCTTTGGTTACAAGTTGTCTGGTTAATTATGAAAAAAAATTTAAATGAAATTTTTTTATTAAAATTTTAATTAATTAATTTAAAATAAATAAATTTTATAAATTTTATTTATTAAATTTTATGTAAATTTTGTCTGCTGAATTATATTATCTATGTAAACATCTGAGAGTTTCACATAACAGCTGCTTTGCTTGAGATTCATTTTTTATTGGTTCCTTCCTTCAGTAAGTGAAGAATACTTTTAAATCAGAGTTTAATTTTTTTCTCCAATTTAGAATCATAAATTTTGTGAAAAATAGTATATATTAATTAGAATGATAAAAGGCTTTCCATACATTGAATCAATACATCATTGGGTGAATTTGTGCTAAGCCATCATTACGTGGCCTTGGTTTTGACAGCAGTAAAAATTTAACATAATAATACATATAAACTAATCCTCTAGTCTTGGAAACTGCTTCGACTGATATTTGACTGAAAATATTTTAACTTTTGATTTTGAAAGAATCAAACAATATTATATATAATTTTATTTTTTTTAGAATAAAATAAATATACAAAAAATACATCAAATACATAATTTTATTTAAAATTATGAATAATTATTTTAAATATAAATAAATTAATTAATTATTAAATAATATATTTTTATCAAAAATAAAAAAAAATAAAATACACCATTAAATGAATAAAGTTGAAATTTTGAAATTATAAGTTAAAATACTTTTTAATCGTTTATAAAGTGCTTTCTCAATCTTAATTTTTTATAAAAAAAATTGCATGGCAAAAGGAAAGAGATTTAAGGTAAAATTGACAGTAAAAAATTATATGAAAAAGGGAAATTGTAGTCCCCCGAAAGGTAAAGTAAAACATGTTTCAAGACTTGAAATCTTGTTGAATTAATCAAGTTATAACATAATGAATTAATTTTAATTTTTTATAATAATGAAATTAAAATAATAACCGTGATATTAAATTTAATTAAAAATAAAAATTTAAATTCAATAAATAAATATAACAAAAAATTAAAAGTATATGGTATGTTGTTTTTAAAACTTTTTGGGGGCAAGTCCTCTGTAGTTCCTGTTACCCTCCGCCCCTAGGTTTGGTTCTCTAATCTAGAAGCCTATTTATTTATGTCTTTCCCTTTCAAGGCAAATTTTTAAGAGTTGTTCCCTGTTTCTGAAGAGTTTCTTTCCAATTTAAGTATGAAGCCAGACTGATTAATCAATAAAAGAAGAAAAGAAAAGCAAAAGAGTGGTGCTAAATGTATCTTTTTTTTTTCCTTCACTTTCCAATTTTTTTTTATAAATTTTTAAAGTAAAATTATTTAATTACCTTCCTCACAATTTTATGAAATTTTATAATTTTTTGAAAATAAATTTTAAAAAAATCATATATTTTTTGAAAATAAATTTTCAAATTTCGAAAAGTCATAAATCTGTTTAGAAATTCAGTTTTAAAAAGTCAAAACCCATTTTCAAAAAGTTATATGATTTTTTGAAAATCTATTTCCATATTTTTAAAAAATTTATTTTTAAAAATATGTGTGAAAGGAAAAAAAATAATTAAATAATTTCATTTACAAAAATTAAAGAGAAAAAACTGGCTAAATTGATCCAAACCCATGTCAATGGACAAAGCAAATTAAAATTTGATTATACCAATCCATATATCAAATGAATTTGTGTTTAGAAAAATAAAATATATAAATATTCCATGAACCATGACCACTTACTAGTTGGCCCTCAAGCCATCTAGCTTTTTTTTTTTTCACCTCCATCAATTACTTCACAACAAAGAAAAGAATAATTGTCACTCTTCCCTTTATGGATTTATGGGCATCTTATGGTGGTAAATAATCCTTTCCCATTGGATTTTATTTTATCATTGTGTGAACTAGTCTGGTGCCAGTTTTGAAGGGCATCAAGCAAGGCTGGTGCCATTTTTCTTCAACCAAACATTTAACAAGACCAAATGTACATGATTTATTTTAATAACGAGCATAACCCTTGTAAACATTTACAGAGAGGTGGGAACATATTCCAATGCCGGTTGACCTTTGTGGTAATCCTTTTCTATAGTAAGGCAAGAAATTGGTAACTAAATACAAGTTGTACAACAGTCTATGTTTGATTTTGACGGAAAATGGCAACATGCCAACGCATTATAATGGATTCATAAAATTTTTATTTGCAGTTAATAATATTCTTGATTAATTTAATAAATCAATAAATATAATTTTGTTTATAAATTTTAATAAAATTAATGATTAATAAAAATTTATCAATTAATTGATGGATAATATATGCATTTTATTCTTATAAGTTATATACAATTCAGATTTTTATCTACTCTTTCAAATTTATTTTTACAAACATAATTAAAAAATATTAAAATAAACAATTAAAAAATAAAAATTTAAAACTGAAAAAAAAGAAAACCCAAGAAAATTTAAAAAAAAAGTAAAATAGGATGCCATGCAGACAATTTCACTTAAAAATGGCATGAATTAGGTAGGGTTAAGTTTATACTCATTTCGACTCTAACCAACATCGAGTTATTATTTTTTACATCTAACCCTATCCCAACATATATATAACCCACATCCAACCCAACTTTGATAAAAAATAAATTCAATAATATAACATTCATAAAATATTATATTTTTAATATAAATTATATTTTAATTATATAAATATAATATTTTAATAAATTAAAATTTAAATAAAAATTTTATTAATACGAAACATTTATATATATAAATAAAAATTACATAAATAATAAAATATATATTTTTATATATACCATGGAATGAGACGGGCTAGAGCATTCTAAACTCATCTCCTTTCCTACCTCAAATTTTAAAAAAGAAAAAAATTACCCAACACCAACTCAGCACCAAGTTATTTTTTTTGTAACCATATTCAACCTGACAAATAAATTTACAACCCACATTTGACCCATATTAATCAAAATTTAATTAAATGATTTAACTTTAGTAATATTCATAAAATTTTTTAATATAAATTATATATTAAAAAATAATAAATAAACAAATTTTAAAAATAATAAATAATAAATAATATTCGTAAAGTTAAAAATAATTTTTTAAAATTATATATTAAAAGACAATTTGGTACTTAGTTTAGAGCAGCATCCAAAGCTTTTTATAATTCTTAATTTAAGAACAAAAATAATAAGCTTGATTGCATTTTTTATTCTAATAATTAAAACTAATCTCGAATTAGATTATTAAAAGATGATTTAAAAATATTATTTTTATTTTTAGCACTTTATATTCTTACTTTTTATATATTTTAAAAATATAGTCATATTTACTAAATTGAATGTAATTCAATTATTTAAATAAAAACACCAAAAAATCAATTACCATTTAAAATAATACATGGACATTAAATTTTTAAATTTTAATAAAAGTTAAAAAAGTTGAAGTCATTTTCTTTTGTTACCTTTTCAAAGTAAGTAAATGGCCATAAAACTTGAGTCAAGCCTTTGACGTAGGACTAAATGAACGAGACTTTCGATGAAGAAACGCGGCAATGTATAGCATTTTCCAGCCAACAATTAAGTTTGGGGAGAGGGGGGAGGGGGGAGGGCGGTCAATTGGATTTTATCGCATCGTAATGGTTGTATTATTAGTTGAATGAAATTAAATATTAATTTTAGTAAAATTTATTTATATATATATTTTTAATCATAATTATAATAATTTTTTTATTATAATTATAATTATAATTATTTTTATTGTTATTTTTAATCTTATTAAAATTAATTTCTTTGTCCATTCAAACGGATTGTTCTAATCAAATTCCTTTGCTTGTTTGGTTTTAAAGAGTCTTTCTTAGTTGACTTTTTTTTTGTGAATAATAACCTAAAAACACAGCCTGCCCCCATTGGCTTGTTCAACTCCCTGATTCCGTAGTAACTTCTTCACTTCGATCCATCTCTCTTCCCTCTTCGTTACTCTGTGGAAAAAGGGTGTTTTCTTTTTGTTTTGAAAATCTTTTGAGTCATGGCGTCGCAAGAATACTTGGACAAGATGCAGCTCCGCCAGAACTATCGAAATCTCTGGCACACCGATCTCATGAGCACCATTCAACGGGACCCTCCTTGTATTTTCCTCTTCCCCTTTCTGGGTTTCTCTCCTTTTCCTTTCTTTTAGTTTGATTGATAATTTCTGTTCTTTCCATTTTGGGTTTTTTTTTTTTTGTTTCTTTTTTGCAGATTGCTGCTTTGCTTTTTGGTGGTAAGTATTCTGGATCTGTTTTCTTTTTTTTTACTATTTTTTTTTTGTTCTCGATCTGATCGTGACTTTATTTCCTGGCCGCAATTAGGTTTCTTATTAATGATGGTTTGGGGTTTGAATATTGAGACGTCGGTGACTGGAGTGACCTAGGGTTGACTCTGCCTGATTTCGTGTTTCTGTTCTAAATTGGATGATAAAATGTCTTTCCACGAATGCCTGATTTTGATACTAGTATTTTGACTTAAGATGGAAGGTCTTTTTTCACCTTGTAAAATGCTCACTTCTTGCCTGGGCTTTTACCTCTTTACTAGGAAATTTTGTGCTGTATTTGTGCATAAGCTGATGAATTTTCTCCTTCCCTCACTTTTGTTATAGTTTTCTTATTTTAAAACCATCTAATCATAGATTATGTCACCAATAAATTGTTGCTTTTCTTTTTCTGGTTGTAGTGCGCCATGTGCATCCTACATGCTCCGGAAACGAGCGCTTTATAATGACATGTCAAGGTAATTGATGAATTTGATTTCGCTTTGACCACAAGTCAATGATGTAATTTCTTGGTTTAAATATAGCCTCTTGTGTTTAACCTCTTTTTTGTAGGTATACATGTTGTGCTGGTTATATGCCATGTAGTGGTAGGTGTGGAGAGAGTAAATGTCCTGAGTTTTGCCTTTGCACTGAGGTACGAAGTTTATCTATATGGTCTGTATTGTTTCTTTTGTTACTTCAACTCATGGTTTTAATTTATAAGCCTACATGTTTGATTCTCAACTCCAGAATGTCTATGGGGTGAGAGGACTGGGTTGGGTTACCACGAACTATTGGAATATTAGAGATGCAAAAATTTAGCTGTATATATACAAATTATTTGCCTATCAGGAGTAATGGGAATTTAGGTTTTTAAAAATAACCATGTTTAATTCTGAAGAAGTGGTGAAAAAACTAGCTTTGAAAAATCTTTAGCTGATGTCTTTAGGCTGAAAGCATGGTATGCAGTGAGGGGAAGGAGGGAGGAAGGGACATGGTTTTCTTCTTCTTAAAGCATAATTTTAAATTGTCTGAATAAACTATTTCATTCTAAGTTCTCCTTATTGTGGTAAAAGACAGGTAACTACATGTGTGGTTGGTTTCTTTTTCAATATATTTTTGTAACTTGGTGTGGCAGTTTTATGGAGCTGGCATTCCTGTTTTGTCATTAATTTCGTTATCTTGTGTTTTTGTTTCTAGGTTTTCCTCTGCTTTGGAAACTCAGTGGCCTCTACCCGATTTCTGTTGCAAGATGAATTCAACATTCAAACCACAAAATGTGACAATTGTATCATTGTAATCTATCTCTTTCTACACTTATGTATTAGTAATTATATCTCCATTTCTTGGCCATAGATTAAACATATTGCCACTTGATATACAGGGTTTCATGTTCTGCCTACAACAAATTGCCTGTATATTTTCCATAGTTGCAATGATTGTTGGAAGTGATGAGATTCAAGAGGCGGCACAGTTACTGAGTTGTTTGTCTGATATGGTTTATTGCACGTAAAGTATTCTGTTCCAGTCAGCACTATGTATCTCTTAGCTAGTTTTGCCTAAAGATACCTTACTGACAGTTCTATTTTATTTTACTTTTTGCAGGGTTTGTGCATGTATGCAGGTATGAAGTGCTTCTAATACATGCATATGGGAATTTTATTATCCTTAATTTTGAACCATCCTTTAATATTTTCCTTGGTTACAGACGCAGCATAAGGTTGAAATGGACAAAAGAGATGGCAAGTTTGGTCCACAACCAATGGCAGTTCCCCCTGTCCAGCAGATGTCACGCATTGATCAGCCAATTCCTCCTGCAGCTGGCTATCCACCAGCAGCATATGGAGCGTATGGACAGCCTTACCCACCTCAGGCACCTGGTTATGCAGCTCAAGGTTACCCATCGGCCGCATATCCTCCTCAGTACCCTCCAGCTGGTTACCCACCATCTGGTTATTCTAGGTGAGTTTTCTCTGGGTTACTGGTTAGTTGCCAGCACTTGAGTCGGGTTATACCGAGACATGGATGGAGCTGGTATTCATTTTAAAAATTGACTGGCATGCATTTATACAATTATATATTTCATGTGTAATTTGCTTTTGGCATTGCTGATTTAAACAGCTAAAGATTTAAATATTGATACTATCAGGTATCAGCTTGTCTATTCCTAATAATTTTATTTTACTTCATTTTCCTTCGCTCTGGTGTTTATGTAAATTTTATGTACAGCTTTTGGTACATAAGGATAAAACCAAGATTGTCAAAGCTTCTGATTTCGGGGTTTTTTTTTATCTTTTTAAAATGGTACAATTGGCCCATATCTGCGTATCCAGTGATATTGTCAATTGGCCCTTATCTGCGTATCCAGTGAATTCTAGCGATTGAAACAATTGCTTCCAGCCCTTCCTTGATTATGATGGTTGGATTAGAGTTGTAATTGATCAAGTTTAGATTGATACAATATTAAGTTCAAATGCGAGTTCCATTCTAAATTCAAAGTTTGAAACTCGATTCGAATTAAATTGAGTTTTATTTTTTTAACTTGAGTTAGATTCAAAATAAAAATCAAGTTATTTAAATTTGATCGATTAAATTTGATTAACATATAAAATAAATTCGATTATTGTATTTAATATAAATTTTATTATTTGGGTTCGAGTTTAAAATATTTTATTAATTAAAATAATAAAAAATTTTAAAATATAGAACTTTGATTAAGTTTGTAAATTATTCTGAGTTTGGATATAAAAATGTTTGAATTTGACTTTCAGATTAGATGTGCATGTTATATTTGTCAAGATTGAGGGTTCAATGGCTACCTGATACAATTGGGTAGTGAGATTTTTCCCAGTACTTGGTGACACTGAAAATGCAGAACTATATAAATTGTATAAGAGATTAAGTCCTAATTTTTTAAAATAGGAAGATCACAGAAATTAAATTAATTCAAAAAAGGTTTAGAAAAAAAGATCAGAATAACTAAGGTTTGTGATGAATTTAAAAAAAAAAAAAAAAGGCAGATGGAGATTCAGTTTTGACTCTTTCAAAAACCTAAATTCAACCTACCCATCCACCCATTCACAGGTGATGAACTTTATTTTTTCACAACCGACCTAATTCAAGGTGATGCAACCAAACGAAGCAGTTTCCTATCCTCTTTTAGCTAAGAATCACACCTGATGTTGAAATCATGACTGTCTGGCGTCAGGCCTTCATCTGTCACGAGCTACTATTGTTTTCCAGCACCACTTCCAGAATCGTGACAATGTTAACTTGCTTACATATTTTTGTAAAGAAACATGAAAAATGGATACCCTCAAATGCACATAAATCCCAGGCTGACCCTTCTTGTATATAAATTATACAAATTTTTTCTTTAAACATTTGGTGGAAGCCTTTTACATAGATTTAAGATTTTTTTTTAAACTCTAAAATGAAGATTGGAAGCTTCTTTTGTGATAGATTATCTATGTTTGATTTGATTATTATATCTTCTAGGAAACATTTTTCTTAATTTATTAGCATCATAATGAAATCATATTAATAAAGCAAGGTTGGCCTTATTTCCTAATCCCATAAGGCCAAACTCCAAAACACTTTTCTTTTCATCAATTTCTTATTGATTCTATAAAATTATAAACATATGAATTATATTAAAGTTTTTTCAAAAGCAATATCTCTCAACCGCTTTAATTTGGAGACTTGTACAAACTTTTAAGGCAAGTTGTTCTTTGTTTCCCAAATAGATTGAAAGAAAAAATGGTACTCTATAAAAGAGAGAGAGATAATAAAGATAAAAGCCCAGTAGGATAATATTTTTCATCTGTTAGGTATTCATTAATGAATTGTTGTTGAAGAAAATCAAGAAAACTATGAAATCTATCAAAGTTTTTGGTTTCTATCCTTTGCATTTATATTTTCTTTTCTTTGAAGTTGATCATTATTTGCTTAATTAGAAACATCCACAACAAGTGGTTGATCTATCTAGCATTGCCCCACTTGAGAGTGAAAACAAGACCCATTTATTTCTTACAAAGACCAAACTTTGTCCAAACCCCAACCAACAAGGCAGCAATTAATCCTGTCACTCTCATTCCTCCATTAGATTAAATAAAGTGCTTTCGACATGTAAAAGAAATACTCATAAAATGCCTTCACAAAACTTTAACCAAAAATATTATACGCATACAATGCTCCAAATACCATTATCACATTCAAAACCATCCTCATCATCAATAAATAAATAAAAAAAAACCATCAATCCAAACCCAATAATGCAAAAAAATTCCCCACCCCCCCCCCCCCCCAAAAGAGGATAAAGAGCAACAGCCAACAAATATCAAAATTCATCAACCCAAAAATTAAAAAAAATTGGAACTATGCAAAAAAAAAAAAAAAAAAAACCTTTGGATTCAATGGCTCTTTTTTTTTTCTTTCATTTTGGTAATATTCAGGATCTTTCATGTACATATAAAAAACAACACCCTTAAAAAAAGAAAAATAATTATATAATAGAAAATTCTTTTTTTTTTCTTTTAAAGATGACAGCTATAGCTACAAACTTAAAGCAGTAATTTGAGAATAATCACCAGAGAATTCAGGGATCCCAGAAGCAGCCCAAAGCCTCTCATTAAATGTCTCTTGCATATCATCAGGAACGAAACTCGTTCTACAAAGCGGACATGTTTTCTGATCATATCCCATCCAACGGTCCAAACAGCTCCGATGGAATATATGTCGACAATTCGTCAGCCGCCTGATCTCATCCTGCCCTTCAAAGTCGTACAAACAGACCGCACAGCTGTCTGGCGGGTCGACGAGGTCGGAGAACTTGACGACGGGTAGGATTTCCCGGATGAGCAGAGCTGAGACCGGGAAAAGGCGGCGCGTGGGAGAAGAGGAGACCGAGGCGGAAGCCTCGGTATCGGCCGTGTCAGGCCAGGGAATGTCGGGTTCGAGAAAATCAGGAAGACCCAGATAAAGGAAGATAGTTGAAATGAATTTGCGAAGGTAAGAAAGAAGATAAAGTGAGTGGAGAAGTAGTCTTGGAAGTAGAAGCTCAGAGTAGCCTACCGGAAAACCCATTTTTTCCTGAAACAGAAAGTGAGCGATGCGAAAGCGTTCCCTTTTGCGTTCTGTTTGTTGAGTTTGGTTTGGTTTGCTTTTTCAGTTTTTGTGTTCTTTAATAGAGAGAGAGAGAGAGAGAGAGAGAGAGAGACAGAAAAAGGAAGGGAGATGGAGTTGCCATATAGAGAGTTGGAAGCGAAATTACTATATTGGACATGCTCTCCTTCATTATTGCGTTTTATTAAAAATAATTAACAGGTCGTTAGGTGGTTTGGTTTTGTAATGTGTTTTATATTTTATGTTTTTAAAATTTTTATTTTATTTTTAATTTATAAATTTTGAAAACATATTTGAACAGAATATTTTTATTTTAGAAATGTGAAAATAAATTATTTTTAAAATAAAAACATGTAATAGAAATTGATTAAGATTTTTATATTTTAAATGGGAGAAGTTCAAATATGACCTAAAGCAAAAATTTTAAACTGTATCAATTGTAATTGAACGGGTGAACAATGCTTGTGTGGTAATAATATTAAATTATTTTCGAAAAATCCAAAACACTACTTTTTGGTTTTAATAATTTCCAAAATTTTATTTTCAATTTTCAGAAACAAAACAAAGACAACTTACCAAATATATTTTTGTTTTCAATTTTAGAAAAACCTAAAAATGAAAAAAAAAAAAAGAAAAACAACTCCAAATGACCCATAAATATTTGGTTGAAAGATTATTGTTTTTTTTTTTGAAAAATTAAATATGAAATTTCATTTTCAAATGTAAAAAATAAAAATAAAAATAATGATAAAATATACATGCCTTTGTCTTCAAGGAAGTAACCATGATGATTTAATAGCTAGTAATATGAATGAGCTTTTTGATAAGAATAGAAAAGAAATGATTAATTTCCCAAATGAATAATTGAGAAGAGAGAAGACTGATGATGTTAACATGCATGTTAGATGTTAGAGCATCAATGACAATCTGCAATTTCTATGGCAATGTCATGAAACAGGGTCCATAAGAATTAAGAAATGCAAGATGTGTACCATCAAAGTGTAATCAAGAGAACTATTATGATGATGGTTAGTCTTTAAAAATGGGTAATTTGGTATGAGATCATTATTCAATTAATTATTTTTTTAAATACATATGAATGAAATATGTAACTATCTTCTAATTTTGTAAACAAAATTTAAAATTTATACTTATATCATATTAAATAATTTTCCTTAGTATTTAGCCTAGGGGTAACTATCTTCTAATCCCCTTTCCTCCTTCACATGTACTAAACTTGGGAGTGTAAATAACACCATCAATCATCATAGCAAAGAAAACTAGCATTAGCCAAAAAGGAGAGAGAGAGCCATGGTGATGAAATGCCTGTACATGAAGTGGGTTTGGGGTTATAACAAAGGGGAGAGGTTTATGGTCACGCCAGTTGGTTTGACGTATGACAAATCATAGTGTGTCGTGAACGTAGGGTCAACAACTTAACTTATTTTTGATAAGTTTTGATTTGATTCGATTTTTTAAAATTAATTTTTATTTTTAAAAATTAAATTTTAAATTAGATCGAATCAGATATTATTATAAAATAATCAAGATTGGATCGAATTTAAATTTTAGATAAATTCGATTTGATTTGATATTTATATAAAAATTAATTTTTTAATTATATATTTATATAATTATATATTATATATTTATATTTAAAAAATAATATTTTATTAATTTCGAATCAGATCGAATTGGGTACGATTTAAACAAAATATCAGAACGGGTATGAAAAAAAAGTTTTTTGATCGGATCAAGTTCAGGTTAATCAAGTTAGATTCGAAGAAAACAAAAACCGGTCCAAACCCGACCTATTATTAACTCTACATGAATGTTCCATGTTAAATGGAAGAGCCAACACCGATACATCAAATGGCCTTATCGAATGGATATTGAGACAAAGTTTTCAGGGCCGGTTGGTAATTCGCATATTTGAGATGTCTTTTGTATCATATTTGATGTATATAATAATATAAATTATTAAAATGTCAAGATGATTATAAAATATATTTAAATTTTAAATATAAATATAATATATTTAATATATATGTTATATGTGATACGATACAATTAATATGTCTTTAATTAATTTATTTAAATATAATAAAAATAAATATGAATAATATAAATATATACGAATAGACACGACTAATATGGATCTATATGAATATATACAATTAACAAGAATATATATAAAATACAACTAAAATAATAAATAATTGTAAATTATTCATAATTTATAATTTAATAAATTTAACATATTAATAACATAAAAGTACTTACATATTAAATAAATAAATAAATTAATACTTATTTAATATGTATTTAATATAAATATATATTTATATTTATATTTATATTACATAACTATATTAATTTTTAGTATAAATTTAAAATGATAAACTATTAAAGAATAAAATAATAATGTATATGAATAATATTAATATTTATATTGTATTTATATTATTAATATAAAAAATAATTTTATAATAATTATTAAATGAATATCATAATTAAATGTTTAAAATAAGTTTTAAATGATGTTAATAATTAATTAAGTATTAAAAATTAAAATAATTTTTATATATTTATATTAAATTAAAATAAATATAAAAAATATGTTAAACATATTAAATATATTAAATATGTACTCGTATGATAAGATTAAATTAAACATGTTATTCGTATTGTGTCAAATGTTTAAATATGTCAATACACGTACGATATAAATTATGTCATGTTGATATAAATAAATTGAAACACATTTTTTTAAAACATATATATAATTTTTTCGTATCATTTTTGTATCATATCACCATATGTATATGAAATTATCAAATCTAATTTCCAATAACACTCTCTCATCCAAATCTGAAAATAATGTTTCTTCAATCACTTTTGTCTTATGATCATCTTCACCCTCTAATTAATTTATCAGTCAAGTTAATAATATACGTAGATTCTTGTATTAATCATTGAACCAATAATGATCTCAAACATACATTATTATTCAATTGAAACGAATTTCGCATGATTCATATTCTCTGATATACCGTTTATATATGTATCAAAATCTAATTGTTAATGCATGCAAAAGGTTTGGAAGGCAAAATAATATCTCCTGAATTTGATTTTCAAATGTTCAAATTGAAATATATAATATCTTGGATCTTCATCAATTAGGTTAAGCTTTTTAGTTTGGGTTGATTTTCATTATGTATGAGATTCTCTTTAATGCCATGAAAACTGAGAATTTCTTAATGGGGGACACCTTTTTTGAGCATATATACAAACTTACAACAATGGGAAGTTTGTGAATTGTGATTGGCATCAAATTAAATCAACGCCATGGAAACGGGGACCATGATTATGTATAGGAGGAATCCTCGATGCTTAATTCATGGTTGAAGAGATATTGAGAGGAAAAGAGATGAGCTAGCGGAGACAGGGGTGTCAGGTTTACGAGGCATGACCAACCAGCCAAGTGATGTGTGGGTTTGCATCGAGAAAGCAAAGGAGAGTGGAATGAGAACATGGCTAAATATTTAATTTGAGGATCCATCCAACATTAGTAGAGGGAGCTCATGCCACAACATACAGCAGCTCTCAGGCCTTGTTGCCAATCTTCTCTGACAAATGCCCTATACAGCCAAGACAACCATTGGTCCACCTAATAGCTCACCCATATGTGAGGGGCAACCCCACCCAACCGAGCGGAGCTAGATCTCACCAGTGACCACCACCTTTGTCTTATTCCTTGTCTTTGTGTCCATGCCGTGGAGTCCCGAACAGGAATCACAAGAATCTTCATTAAATGTGTGTGTGTGTGTGTGTGTGTGTGTATGCTTACTGCTCTTTAATATGTCATAAAGTTACAGCTAATACTTACCTCAGCTGCTTGAGAGACTAGAATGTGCGAAAACAAAAGGAGTAAACAGTCTAGTTGTTTCCTAGTAGATGATTAAAAAACCAACTTTATTGGGTGAAAACCCAAAAGTAAAACAGGCATGGGAATGCAATTTTCAGAAGGCTTTCTGGCATTTGGCCTCATTAGGAACATATTAACATGTAGGCCAGCTAAATCCAACCAACATCTCTTTTTCACTCTAACTGTACTGCACAAATCTTTAAGCCAAAGTTATTCCACTTGCTCTCTCTTACTTTAGTTGTGTTTGTCCTGTCCATTCCAGTGTTTTGGAGCTGTTTTTATTCTGTTTTTCCCCGCACTTAGCCAAAAAGCATGACTTTTGTGGGGATTAGCTCTGGGTTCTGACTCTAACCCAAAATTTTATATCTCACATTCTCACTATCAGAAGTTGCCTGTGATAAGATCGAACTGAGTATCAAAACGTGTCTGTAATCCAACTTTGCCTGTCAGAATTTGTCTCTGCTTCAAATCAAAACAATGAAATAATTTGGGTGAATATTTAACCAGAAAATTAACAGCAACTTGCATTGTAAAGACAATGAAGAATTGTTTTTCTGAGTCATGCTTAAATTGACATGTGAGAGCATGTTGATCATTGGCGATATGGACTGACGAGGACCACATGGCTTCTTTTGTATGTCCTTTTCCATTTGTTTTGGAAAATTAAACGACTAATCATCTTTGCTTGCATAGTATCTATGTATATGGGACATGCTACATATGCAATCAGATTCCAATCCACAATTTCTATATGACTGTTTAATTATAAAACAATGAAGAAAGAGAAATGGGCTTCAATGAAAGGTCTTAGTAATGACGAAGGGGAATTGCTGACAGATGAGCAAGCATAGCACCTTTTTAAACAAGTTGCCAAAGTATTAAAATTAGCATTAGCAATTGCAAAGAAGTAAGCCTGCATCGGATCAGAATTAAAAAGAAAAAAAATAACAGCTATATGATGACATGAAATATAATTGAACTGCAAGAAGCATCTGACTGATGTCCTCCCCAACATTGTTCTTGAGAGGATGGAATGTGGTTAACAGATAAGTTGTGCTATTTGTTTGCTTTTTGAACAGTTTCTGCACGATGCCTCATTGCAAACCCACGTTTTCTTTGTTTACAGAAAACCTACGATCGAGAATGTTACAGTGAAAGGAGAATTGTTCTTGAATTTGAGTGGAATTGGAGGGACGGGTCAGGGGGACCAATGGCAAAT